TGGTGTCCTTGGTGTGCCCAAGGCTGGTGCAAAGTAGACTCTCAATGAATGTTGGTCACATGAGTAGCTTCTCCTTGGATGGCTTCTCCAGGCTGGCACGCAAGCCCCTGATGCTCTGACCACACCACCTAGTCAAGCAGTTAAGTGGTCAGACATGACAGAGGCTTGGTCTAGCCCTAGGGGTGGGGGGCCGGGCCCAGGTAGTTCACTGTCAGCAGAGCTCTGGGGTGGGCAGTGACAAGAGCCCCTTCTACTCCTAACGCACAGCCCAATGTTCCTTCAGCCCTCCTCTCCCCGAGAGCGACAGAGCACCGCGGGACATGGGCCGTTTCCTGAGAAGTGTTGTGTGCTGCCTCTGGGTCACCTGCGATCATCCTAGCAAGCCCCCACCAGACTCAGCCAGCATTAGAAGGCAAGGTAAGTCTGCCCAAATATAGGCTCAAGTGTTCTGAAAACATCAAGTCACTCAGGGAGCCTGTGAAGAAGGCAGACACCCCGAGCCGTGCTGACTCCTTGGGGCTGGGAGACCCGGGGGCCCTGCAAAGACAGCAGCCCGCGCAGCCCCTGGTCATGCCCTGGAGCGACCAGGAGCTGCTGAGAACGCTGGTGCAGGCCCTGCTGCTCCAGGAACTCTGGTTCTGGGGCCTGGGCTGCTGGCCTGACATTGGTGTTTTTCTGACATTGCCCCTGTGAGTCTGTGGTGTGGCCGGCAGGATTACTGCCCAGAAGCTGGCTTTGCAGGCTGTCTTAGCGGCTCCAACACAGGGGACCTGCACCCTTGGTGGGAGGCGGACATCTTGGGTGAAGGTCAGCCAACTGCTGCCGCCAGGCTGCGGTGAAGACAGACTCAACACTTACCTTGAGGCCCTCACTCCCACATGAGCTGAGCTGAGGCAGCTACCACGGAGGAGGGCGGGCCTGGTGGGGGCATGGGTGCTCTGTCTCTCTCCTGCTCTGCGCCTGTCCAGGACTCTGCCGGGGCCGAGGCCTGAGGTTCGCCTGGTAGGAGCCAGCCTCGGAATTCTTCCTGGTCTTTTCTCCTGAGGTCCCTGGCACTCTCCCCCATCTTCTATTCCTTCTATTTCTTCTGCAAGTGTCGTGCCCCTCCCCCTCCCTGTCAGGGTGACACTGGCCCCTCACTGCCATCACCCATGAGACTCGCTCTCCCAGCCCCTGCTGCCACCTCCCATAGGCTTAGTCCCTGCTCCCTGGGGCACCTCTGGTGGGGTCACAAACTTGGCCCTGGAGCCTCTGCCGACTTCCTGAGCACAAGGCTGTGCAGGGCCGGGGCCCAGGGGCAGATAAGGAGGGCAAGCTGTGCTTTCTGGTTCCTTTGGCCACAGGCTTCTTAGAGAACAGACGGCCTCTGGCAGGGTGGTGAGAGAGGAGATTATTTAGTACCAACCTGTGAGGGAAAGTTCAGGAACCAACAGGCTAGAGATGACCAAGAGATGCCCTATCACTACATAAAGTCCAGACTGTCCCATCTGCCTGCTGTGAGTCTCTGGGAGCGCTGCTTAACCTCTCTGGGCCTTCGCCGTAGGTGATCAGCATTCGGGCTCAGGGAGTAAAACAGGGAACGAGTAGAAAGCACTGTGCGCGGTGTCTAGCACAAGGAGTCACTCAGCAAATGCTGGCAGTTGTCACTGTTATTACTTTACTACCCGTGGAACACCCGTGATGAAAGGCCCTGGTAGAGGTCACCTGAATTAAACTTCTGCGTTTGTATGGTGAGGGGAATGGCAGAAAAGAGGACGCTCTCGCTGGCACTCTGTCCAGTCCTCAGGGCAGGGCCAGATCCACAGGTCCTTCAGCGCCTCTGAGGAGGTGGGGTGGGGGCTGCGGCGGGCCGGCAGGATGCCAGCGGGAGTTTCGAAGGACTTGGACTTGGAGAGCCCCAACCTCTCGGCTCTGTCTCAGGCAAAATCGTTGAGCATATTTTAGGATCAGCAAAAACCCACAATGCCTTTGGCTGAGCACTTTCCCTCTACTTGTTGAAGCCCAGGGGTATTTTCTAGGAAATTGAGTCCATCTGTTTCTGATTCATTTGTACTTAACTCATCACCAAGCTGTTTTGTAAGAGCACTTTGATGTGAAAGCCGCCTTATTCCATAAGCCTCTCTAAGTCTCTGTTTAGTCAACAGTAGGTAAACGGTCTCTCCAAAAGAGGCCAGAGGCAGCTTCTTCATCTCCCTCAGAACACAGGCCATATGAAGGGAGAGTGTGGCCTGGGACCCCCTTTCCAGGGCCTGTCAGGGCCAGGCACCCCACCACCACCACCACCACCATGTGCTGTCTGCAAAGAAGCCTCCCTCAGCGCTTGCCAGGACAAAAAGGAACAACAGTGTCAGACTGATGCTGCCCCACCCCAGCCAGAGCAGTCCCTTTTTCCTCTGGGGAAGAGACACAGGTATTTCTGGTTGATCCTTTTTTGTTTGTTTAAAGATTTATTTATTTATGCATACAAGACCTGGGGTACAGGCCAGAGGTGCAGGGCAGAGGAGGGGTGGTGGTGAGAGAACTCACCAGAGACAGAGTGGGGAGTAGAACAAGCAGATCAATGAAGTACACTGCTGAGGGGAGCAGCGGGCGGGACAGGAGAGGTCTGCTGCGCCATGTGGGTCAGCTCCCTGGCCGGGGACCCAATTCCTGAGAAGCAGCTGTGGCTAGCTTCAAGTGCTGTGCTTCAACCCGTTGTGCCACCAGGGAGTGCCCTGGTTGATCCTCTCTTGGCCTAACCACTGCCATCTTAATGAACATTATATTCCAGAAGTAAAACATAAGAATATCCAGCAGTCAAAGGCTAGACGAACAGACAGCAGACTTCTAAGGACAACGAGAGCAAATCGATACGACCATGAAGTGCGACGAGAAAGAACCACCCAGCTCCAACCCCCGATCCTCGCGGCCAAATCCCTGCCTAACAGTCTGCAGGACCTGATCAATGCCCTGACTCAATAGATTATATGTGTGACAAAATTCCAATACAGGAGGACAGGAGCTGTTCCGGGACTTGATGATGGATCTGAGCTGCGGCAAGTGGGAATGAGGACATAATCTCTTCTTGCATAGAAATAGGGGCCCTGAAAAGACAAACTGTCAGTGATCACTGCACACAGCTTATGGCTGCACTCCCGAGGGGCCCAGTGCAGCCCGGGCCCACAGGACGCGCTCTGAGAATGCCTGTGGAGCTGGGGCAAGGGCTTCGCTCAGCTTGGACGATGGCCCCGGCCCGGCCACCTTCCACAGCAGACCTCTCTGTTTGACCAACAGTCAAGCCAATTTCCCCAGATTCTTCTGAAGCCAGCCAGTTTGTTAAGAGTCCTCATTTCCTTTCAAGGAACCATAGGCCCTGTTCCCAGGTGGGGGTGGGCAGCAGGGGAACTGGCTAATGCCAAGCAGTTAGGGGCTTCTGAGCGCTTTTTTTTTAAATTTATTTGTTTATGCATATAAAACTGGGTATAGGCCAGGGGTGTGGGGATGAGAAGATTCACCAGAGACAGAGTGTGCACTGCTGTGGGGAGCAGCAGGCAGATCAGTAGAGGTCTGCTGCGCCATGTGGGTCAGCTCCTGGCCAGGGTTTGAACTTGTGCTGCAGTGGCTGTGATAATAGCTTCATAGTAGTGTGCCTTAATCCATTGTGCCCGCAGGCAGGGCCAGCACTGTGATGGCCTAGTGTGTTAACTTGGCTGAGCCATTCATTGTGCCCAGATATTTGTTCAAACGTTACTCTGAATGTTACTGTAAAGGGTTTTTTCAGATGAGCTTAACATTTTAATGGATTTTAAAAATCAGAGTCAAGGTCCTCCATGGTGGCCCAGGGGGTTAATTCTCAGCAACCCCATCCTGATGGTCCGCTGCAACAGCCTGAATCTGTTCCCAGGCCAGGGAGCTAAAGCACATGGCACAGCAGACCTCTCCTGTCTCCCCTGTTATTCCTCTTACAGCATATTTCAGTGGATCTGTCTATTCTGCTCCACACTCTGTCTCTGCTGAGTCATCTCAACCCCCACACCTCTGATCTACACCCCAGTTGTTTTTCTTTAAAGATGTATTTCATTTATTTATGCAAGGGCTGAGGTGCAGGCCAGAGATGAGGGACTAGTGATGGTGGCAGTGAGAGGATTCATCAGACAGGGTGGGGAGCAGAACAGGCAGATGGACTAAAATACGTGGTGAGGGAGCAGGGTGACACAGGAGAGGTCTGCTGCACCATGTGGGTCAGCTCCTCACTCTAACTCATGCTTCAGTGGCTGGTGATAGCTTGATAGCACTGAGACTTTAACCCCTGTGCCACCAGGGAGGCCCTACACCCCAGTACTTATATGCAAAATAAATTAATTTAAAAACCCACAAATGCTGTTTATGACCCCACAAGCACAGACCCAGATGCAGACTCTATGTATTGACATGGAAGGAACTCCAAGGCGTATTATTCAAAGTGCACAGTGTATGATCATCAGTGTAAACAACAGACGAGTACAAGTTAAAATTTTCATTGCTGATGGGGGGCGGGGCCCTCTGGAAGGGCAAGGAGGCAGGGGAACTGAGTGAGCTCTCTACTCCTGGCTACTCTTTGCCCCAGCAGTTCATACCCACTGGCATTAGCATATTTCTGTGCATACAAAAGTAATCAGCTGCAGCACTGCTTAGGAGAGAATTTACATAAGGAAATAAGCTAAATACCCATCAGTGGAAACAGGTTAAACGAATCATGCATTTGCAGAACCATGGTGTTTGTGAAATGAATGGTGGCTCTGTTCAGATGTGGAATGGTTTTTTTAAAAAAGAGATTTATTTATGCATAAAAGAACTGAGGTGTAGGCCAGGGTGGGGGTGGGGGAGGTTGCTGGTATAAAAAGACTCACCAGGGACAGAGTGGGGAGCTGAACAGGTGGATCTACTGAAATACACTGCCGAGGGGAGCCGTGTATTTCAGTTTTAGTAGATCTGCCTGTTCTGCTCCCCATTCTGTCTCTGGTGAATCCTCTTATCCCTGTCCGCCACCTCTGGCTTACACCCCAGTTCTTATATGCATAAATACAAATAAATCTTGGAAAAAAGAGCACCTAGTTTAACCCACACATAAAGACAACTGGATGCAGATCTTTTCTTCTGAACCTTTTTATCTAACCAAAGTCAGCCTGAACCCAAACAAGCCAGAATAGCCTGAAAGGGCCACTGAATCACAAAACAACAGGGCAGAACCTGAAATGGGGACAGATCAGCGTTTGTTCTTTTCACAGTGGAGCACGCCTGTGTCCACACACAGATCCCCACTAAAAGCTGGAAGGCGGTGCACCCCCACCACCCAGCCCGGGGCCACGCGCCATTCAGGGTGCCCGCTGGTGTCCCGCGGGCCACCGTAGCCGGCCCGGTTTGAGCGGTTTGCGTCTGGAGTGATGGCCCCACTCCTCACAACTGGAGTTTGCCGGGGAGGTCGGTCAACTTACTTCCTCCCCTGAATGGAAGATACTGAAGTCTGTCTGAATGTGTCCTGGAGATAGGAGGTGGACGTTTTTTAGCAAAGAGTTTACAGGGTAGTTGTGTAGGCCGTTTTAAGTACTTAATTCTGTAGTTTTGCAGAAACCTTTGCACCTGGGCTCCCAAGGGTCACTGGAGGGCCCCACAGGGATGAGAACAAGGTGCCCTGGAGCCTTCACCCCGGGAAGGGAAGGGGGCAGGGGAGGCAGGGGGACAGAAGTCAGCTGAAACACTCCATGCTGGCTCGGACACGCTCCATCTCGTGCAGAAAGCTGTAGAACTGAGGCAAGGTTAATTCTGGGGAGAGAAAATTCAGCATTAGGTAAATGCCTCCAACGCCACAGAATCATCCAAAGACTTTAATTTCCACCCAGAGATTTTTTTTCTATTTCAGGTTAGTACTACAAAGCGGTGCTAGAGAGGCTACAGATGATAAAAAAGGAAGGGAGGGCCTTGAACATGGGTCCTGTGCTCCGTGAGAAGGGGGAGGCTTGACTCCACAGCACAAGGAAGGGCTCCTGCACCCACGTCAGGCGCTTCTGCTGGGGATCATGGCCGTCCCTGCCCCGCACCGCCCCCTCTCCAAAAAGACTTCAACCTGCGGCCTCCAGTCTTTGGACGGCTTTTCAGCTTCGAGAGCAAAGGCCGAGGGCGGGCTACTGCCGGCTCGGCTGTGGCTTCTTCTGAAAGCGATGCTGTGCGGGGGGCTTTCTAAGCCCCCGAATGCAGAGAACACAGGGCCAGTGAAAGAGCTCAAGCATGCGTTTGCACTCACCTATGTACAAATTTTCAGTCTGACTTCCTTTCTTGATCACCAACTTTAACTGATGAAAACAAAAGTAAAATATTTACATTCAGATGATGGCCGCTGGGCCAGCAAGTTCCTGAACTTAAACATCCAAATGCCCAGCTTCTGACTCCAGAGTTACAGAGGAGAGGTCTGGACTGTCCAACACAAGACTTCTAGCAATCCCCACGCTCTCGGGGACAAGCTGCTCAGATCACCGTCACGACGCTGTTCGTCCAGAGGGAGGCCTGTGAGCGAGGGCCTGGCTGGCCGGCCACAGCGCCCTGAGCTCTGCGGCGCCTCACAGGCCACCCCTGAGTCAAAAATGAACCCACTTGCAAAGATCAGGGGGAGACTTACTACTTACTTGTAAAAAAATGCTTCCCACTTTCTCCAGTTCACTGCTCCCGGATGTCACTGTTACACAACAGAGAAAGACAATCAGTGACTGGCTGAAGACCCGTTCTGGATGGCCATGCTTTGCAGATGGCCAGCAGTGTGGGTCTGCTAATCCTGGTAGAAGCTGTGTGGAGGGGCAAACCGTGGGGAGCTTCACCTGAGCCTGGAGAGAATGGAGGGGTGTGGACAGTAGAGAGGACTCCTGACTCCCCGTCCACAGTACCGGCTAGGCTCTGCAACCCCACGTGACCCAGGACTGCCCCCACCACTGGTTACCTCCAAATTTCCACTCCATGTCTATGAGCTGGTTAATCATCAGAGTCTGCCCTACGGCCCGATGAGCCAGGGCGGGGGCGTTCTTCTTCCACTGGAACAAAAGCGAAAAGGCACAGTCAGGTCAGTGAGACGTTCCCCCTCAACCCCCTCAGAGCAATGCTGAGTTTTACACCGAGAAGGGGGGGGATGCAGAAACCAGGGCTGGGCCCATACGCACACGCTGGGGCGTGGAGAGGACAATATACATGTTTCTTTCCCGGGAGGATTTAATCCAGGTTGAAACAAAAACTATGACATTGCCAGTCAGTCAAATCAGAGGAAAACAATTAGTTAGGGCACCCAAAGGTGCTGGATTTGCATGAAACCCAAGGAAAAATGTTAAACTGGGAGTGACATAGGATGACGGATGGTTTTTCCTTAGTTGGCATTTTCCATTTCTTTTCATGAAGTAAAAGTAAGTGATCTTAATTAACCTTGATGAAGAAGAATTATGATACCTTTTCAGAAAAGTAAGTGGCTTTCTCCTCACTGAGACCTATGGGAGAACAGGAGACATCAGCATAATAAAGAGCACGGGGCCTGTCACAGGGCCACCTGGGGGCTGACCTACCCAGAGTGATGAAGTCAGCCCGGACCTGCTCGGCTGAGAGGCTCTTCTTCAAGGCGCCTGGAGACAGGAGACATCGTTAAGGGGGGCAAATCGGTAAACAGCAGCATCACCTGCCAGGCACGGCTTGATGACACAGGCCTGAGAGTACTAGAGACTCGGCTGCTCTGCCAAGGCCGGCGAGACACCTGTTCTAGGTGTCTCAACGCGAGTGTTCACCTTTCAGAACGTGTGGAAGAAATCAGCAGAACCAAGAAAGACCTGGGCACCTGACCCAAGGAATGGATAAGACCACAGATTCTCGGAGTGAAGTGGGGGGAGCTCAGGGTCAAGCGAGTGTGGGGATCACAGCCTAGAGCTGCCATGTGGGTTAAAAGAAAAAAGACTTCTGCTGGTGATCAAAGGTGGCAAGTGCATGGAAACTTTTTTTTAAAAAGATTTATTTATTGGGCCCTACCTGATGGCGCAACAGGTTAAAGCGCAGCACTATAATGCCAGCAGCAGCCGCTTCAGCCCCAGTTTGATTCCCGGCCCCGGAGGTGACCTGCATGGCGCAGCAGACCCCTCCTGACCCGCCCGCTGCTCCCCTCAGCATGTACTTCCTCAGTCTGCCTGTCCTGCTCCCCCACTCTGTCTCTGGCGAATCCTCTCTACACTCCCACCTCGGGCCTGTACCCCAGTTCTTTTTTAACAGATTTATTTATTTATGTATACATGAACTGGGGTACAGGCCAGAAGTGCGGGGGTGAGAGGATTCACCAGAGACAGAGTGGGGAGCAGAACAGGCAGATTGACAAAGTACACTGCTGAGGGGAGCAGTGGGAGAAACAGGAGAGGTCTGCCGTGCCATGTGGGTCACCTCCTTGGCCGGAGATCAAATTCATGCTGTCATGGCTGCAGATAGCTTCACAAAGCTGTCCTTTAACCCCTTGTGCCACCAGAGAGGCCCCAGATTTACTTTTTTATGCATACACAAACTGGGATATAAGCCAGAGGTGCAGGGGGTGAGAGGATTCGCCAGAGATAGAGTGGGGAGCAGAACAGGTGGACTGGCTGAAATACACAGCTGAGGGGAGCAGCAGGCGAGACAGGAGAGGTCTGCTGCGCCATGTGGGTCAGCTCCCTGGCTGGGGATGGAACTGATGCTACAGTAGCTGCCAATAGCTTCATAGTGCTGAGATTAAGCCCTCTGCACCACCAGGGAGTCCGGATACTAGACTTCTGGTGGTGATCACAAGGCAGCATAGACACAAGGGAGAGGGCCAAGCATTAATCTGCATGCCTGAAACTTCCACAGTGTGGTAAACCTCAATTTGAATTTAAAGAAGAAGAAGAAGAAGAAGAAGAAGAAGGTTCCATTGGACAACATCGCCCCAGAAAATCAGCTTCCGGGAAGTATACCATGATGGGTGAGACAGCTTGGCCTGTACAATTCACAGCTCACTTCAAGTGAACACTCCCCTGTGGGAGCCACTTTTGCTCTGCTGCTAGCTCCGATTCCCGAAAACAAAGTGTTGCAGCAGTCTGGGCTCCTCCATGTTTCACCTGCAGGCTACAGCCTAGAGTCACAACTTGGCAACTGCTTAAACACTTCCCACTTCTTCCTCTTCCAGAATATGGCTAATTAAAGACTAAGAAGACACCCACCAGGAGCAGGGGAAGGCCCTCAAGTAAGACCCAACCCAAGGCCCCACACCCATCTCACCCAGAAAAACAGTCCTGTGGGCTGTTGTCCTTTGCAAAACAAACCATGTAAACAAAGGGAGGAAATCTTTTATCTCTTAAATCAGACTCAGCTAGGAAGCCACAAGGAAGTCAAGAGCCCCCAAGCCTAAAGGCCCCCCCCAGAGCCCAACGCCATTAACTTGTGACCATCACAGTAGGGCGCCTCAGTGAACATCCAGCTCAAATGCAGTATTTTGCGTGGTGACCCACAAAAGGACTTCAGTAAGGACTATTATTGTAACCTTTAATTTTCTTTTCTTTTTTTTTAAAAGATTTATTTACTCACACATACAGGAACTGGGGTCCAGGCTAGAGGTGCAGGGGGTGAGACAGAGTGGGGAGCAAAACAGGCAAACGGACTGAAATTTACTATTGAGAGGAGCAGTGGGAGGGCCAGGCGAGGTCTGCTGCACCATGAGGGTCAGCTCCCTGGCCAGGAATCGAATTCGTGCTGCAGTGGCTGCAGAAAGCTTCACAATGCTGCGCTTTAACCCACTGTGCCAGCAGGGAGGGCCCAAAGAAAGAAATCTTTAAAAACGAATAAAATAAAAGCAGGCTGACAGAGTGGCTCCACTGCCAGGTTACGGGTGATCCTGTTCAGCAACCGCCAGTAAGTCAGTGTGAGCGGTGGGCGGCCAGAGCTGCCAGGCGTTGAAGCAAGCTAGTTACAGCTATGGTCATTCTCCTGTCTTTCTTTCTTTCTTTTTTTAAGATTTATTTTATTTATTCGTACAGAACTGGGGTACAGGCCAGAGATGCGGAGGGTGAGAGGCTTCACCAGAGACAGAGTGGGGAGCAGAACAGGCAGATGGACGAAGTACACTGCTGAGGGGAGCAGCAGGCGGGCCAGGGGAGGTCTGCCGCGCTATGTGGTCACCTCTAGGGCAGGCGGAGATGGAACTCATGCAGAAGTGGCCTAAGCCTCCTAGTGCTGTGCTTTAACCCGCTGCGCCACCAGGGAGGCCCTCTCCTGTCTTTCTTTTAAAGATTTATTTATTTATGCATACAAGAGCTGGAGTGCAGGCCAGAGGTACTGGGTGTGGGTGAGAGGATTCACCAGAGTCAGAGTGGGGAGCAGGACAGGCAGATCCACTGAAGTACACGGCTGAGGGGAGCAGCGGGGAGCCAGGAGCGGTCTGCTGCGCCCTGTGGGTCAGCTCCCTGGCTGGCAAACTGTGCTGCAGTGGCTGTGCACGGCTCCACAGTGCTGCGTCCTTAGGGAGCCCACGTTCTCTCTTCTGATAACAAGTTATGAGCTGCTAAAACTAACCAAAGAAACTGATCCTCAAAGAGGTTAAATAACGTGGCTCAAGGTCTCAGAGCTGTTGCAGGATGAGGCAGCACACAACCACATGTGATGGCGGGTGGGAGTGTCCCACTGAATCCTGCTGAGAACAAACAACTACATGCAAATAAAACGCAGGAGAAATATGGAAATCTGGCCACCGGTTACTTGTAGATATGATAAAAGCATACTACAATAGTTTGATAAAGGGAAAACAAAGGTTTTTGGTTTTTTTTTTTAAATCTTAATACATAACTAGGAATTTAGGAAAGAAATGGTATGATATCTGAGATTTACTTTCAGGAGAGCAGTGTAGTTAACTAGCCAGGACACAGATAAAACAATCTAACCAAGGGCAGACAACTGCTGAAGTCAAATATTTCCAAGAATTACATGTGGGCCGCCCTGGGGACATGGGTCTCAGCGCTCTCAAGCTACCAGCGGCCACTGCAGCATGAGTTCCACCCCCGGCCAGGAGCTGACCCACACAGCAGACCGCTCCCACCTTGCCCGCTGCTCTCTCAGCAGTGTGCTTCAATCTGCCTGTTCTGCCTCTGGTGAATCCTCTCACCCCAACACTGCTGGCCTATACCCCGTTCTTGTATGTATATATAAATAAAAATAAATCTTTAAATAAAAGAATTACATCACATAGAGTAAAATATGAAATAACAAAACCCAGTTGGCTTTGTGCTAATACAGGGAGGTTCTAGCCCCAACATTTCTACTATGAGACGTTCAACATGTCACTTTGTGGGACTCTCTAGGGCTCTATTTCTTTATCTCCAAGACAAAGAATAATCTAGGTCAGAACTCTACAAAACTTTACCTGGCACTCCCCCTGCCAGAGAGAGAGAAGAGTTCCAGGGTTAACTGTTTTAGATACTGGTTAAGCAGGTTTCTTATGGCAGGACTTTTCAGAGCCTGAAATAAGTTAATGTGTCTGTGACTCGCCAAGGCATGGGGCGACAGTGTTTCCTGCCCATGTCTGATCACTGATACATTTTGGGAAAGACTTATCTGGAGAGTTCTTTTTTTAAAAAGATTTATTTACTTATACTTACAAGAATTGGGATACAGGCCAGGAGTACGGGGGTGAGAGGATTCACCAGAGACAGCAGAGAGCGCAGCAGGCAGATCTACTGAAACCAGGAGAGGTCTGCTGTGCCATGTGGGTCCTGACCTCCCTGGCTGGGAACTGAACTCATACACAGTGGCTTCGGATAGCTTCACAGTACTGCGCTTTAACCTGTTTGCACCACCAGGGAGGGCCCCTGATTTGGAGGGTTCTTAAGGTCCCTTCATCTCTAACAAGCTGTATTTCTACACAGGGAGAACAGGATGAGGGCAGGGGTGGAGAATGGAGGGCTGGAGGTGCTTATATTTCAGACTAGACAGAAGGTCAAACTGAAGACTACAGACTTCATCATGCAACGGACACAGTGGGGAGGGGGGCAGCGTGACCCTCATGTGGAGAGAAGGTGCTCCAGGGCAAACGGTGGTCTGGGATGGGAGAACGATGTGACGTTACTGCAGGGAAGGGCTGCAGACAGGAGACATACAAGGTTAAGGGTGAGGAAGAGGTCACAAGACATGCAGGCCACCAATTCAGCTGACTAGGGATGCTTTAGAAGAAACGGGCGAACATAAGCAGGGAAACTGCAGGAAGGGAAAAGTCAGGTTGCCCCGAGAACAAGAGTAAACAGAATCAGAGCTAAGTGAGAGGAGAAGCAAATCCCAAACTTGAGTGGTTTGAAAAGTTCTAGGGCATTATAAACTCAAGAGGTGAACTTAGAGGGCCCTCCCTGGTGGTGCCATGTTGAACCACAGCCACTGCAGCACAAGTTCGATCCCCGGCCCGGGCGCTGACCCACATGGCGCAGCGGACCTCTCCTGTCTCCCTGCTGCTCCCCTCAGCTGTGTGCTTCAATGTCCCCACTCTGTCTCTGGTGAATCTGCTTATCCCCCACCTCTGGCCTGTACCCCAGTTCTTATATGTATAAATAAATCTTAAAAAAAAAAAGGTGAATTCAGGTCCTCTCATTAAGTGAAGGAAAGTTTTATCTCGTAACTTGGTGTTGAGGCATAAAGCTGAAACTAACTGAACTATCAATAAAAAAAGCTGAAGGTCAGCAAGCATTGCCTCGAGTACTTCACCTAAATGAGCTCATTCCACCATAAACTGCTGCTATTGCCACAGTTTTCAAGTAAGAAGCTGGGGCTGGCCTGTCCAAGGGCAAATAGTCACCTTATCTGACTGACCAAGAAGCAGCCCCAGCGCCTGCTGGGCCCATCTCCAGGCTGATAGGAAGGGCTGGTATCCTCTGAATCTGTGGATAATGATCTTTTGCAAATACTGATAATCAATCCTTCTGAGAATATCCCTTGGGAAGGTCACAGAATCTCCCAAATTCAGTTGACTCAGCCTGTACTAAGTACCTACTTCACATCAACCCTTTACTTGTAACAGTGGATTAGGAGAGAGGTACAAGGCCTGTTCCAGACTTTAAAGAACTGGTTATTTGTTCCAATCAAGAGACAGACACGGGGCTTCCCTGATGACGCAGGGGTTAAAGACAGCGCCATGGAGTGATCACCAGTCTCCACAGCACACGTGCAATCCCTGGCCGGCCAGGGAGCTGACCCACCCGGCGCTGCAGACCTCTCCTTTCTTGCTGCTCCCCTTGGCAGGATTTCAGTAAACTCATTTGTTCTGCTCTCTTTGCTCTCTGGAGTGAATCTTCACACCCCCACCTACACCCCAGGTCTCCCATGCACACAAAAAAAGTAAAAGAAAATGTTTAAAAGGAAAACCAGGGACCTCCCTGGTGGCATAGGTTTAAAGACACAACAAGCTATGTACAGCCACTGCAGCACGAGTTCGATTCCTGGCCACGGGGCTGACCCACGTGGTGCAGCAGACCTCTCCTGGCTCAACCACTGCTCCCCTCAGCAGCGTATTTCAGTGGATCCTCCTGTTCTGCTCCTCATGGTCTCTGATGAATCCTCTCACCTCCCCACCTTGCACCTCTGGCCTGTACCCCAGTTCTTGTATGCATAAGTAATTAAATCTTTTTTAAAAGATGGAAAAGAAGTGCCTCTTCTGTGTGCAGGGATGGCCAACTCCCCCTCCAACCTCAGGCTTCTTGTACCTTTAACCTGACCTGAGAACAAATAATGCAAGAATCACACAAACGGGTTCACAAAATTTCACAGCTGGGAACTTCAGGGTTGTTCTGATTAAAGCCCCCAGAACCTCCTGAGCACAAGATAGGGCAAAGGGTTGAACCCATACAGAAAGGTGCCAGACAGGAACAAACAAATTAAGCCCCTAACTGTAAGTGCACCATATCAGGGCTGAGATCCTGGGGAGATCAGCTTGCTACTGATTTTTGAAATGTGTAAACTAGGGGCAGCTTTACCTCCTCTGGTGAAGCTGGTTAACAGCCAGGTAAACACTGCCTCATTCTTTAAGATCCGGTTCACAAGGTGCCTCTCTTTAAATAAAGTTAACTTTTAATTAAATCGCTAAATTTCCAGCCATTTATAAGACAATACACACCCCCCAAAAAAAACACAATTTAAACAACATACAGCACTACCACCCAGATATAGCCACAGTTTCTTTTTTTATTATGACTTTTAAAAAAGATTTATTTATTTATGCTTACACAAATAAATAAATAATAATTTGATATGTGTGTATGGGGACTTATCTACCATAGGAAATTTAGTTAACCTCCGTCACTTAGTTACAAACTTTGTTCTTGTGATGAGAAATTTCTAAATGACTGCTATTTTAAAAAAAAGATTTTATTTATTTATTCAGACAAGAACTGGGGTTCAGGTCAAAGGTGTGGAGGTAAAAGGATTCACCAGAGACAGAGTGGGGCGCACAATAGGCAGATGGACTGAAATACACTGCTGGGGGGAGCAGCAGGTGAGACAGGAGAGGTCTGCTGCGCCATGTGGGTCAGCTCCCTAGCTGGGGATCAGGCTCAGACTGCAGTGGTTCACAATAGCTTGATAATGCTGAGACTTTAACCCCTGTGCCACCTGGGAGGCCCCCCCAATAAAATAAATCTTAAAAAAAAAGTTTTTTAAAAATGATAGTCCTCCCAGGCTGCTGAAGAGCCATCACCCTCATGAATGAGACAGTAACTATCCAGATCAGAAAATTCATGATTGGCTGACTCAGTGGAAACAAATGGGCTTGGACATCCTTCACCCTAGGAAGGCAATAGGACCTATGACAGAAATTTGGGAAACACTAGCTAAAATGTACAAAAATATCCCCAGTGTCATCTTTGTATCTGGATTCAGGACCCACTTGAAGGTGGCAGGACAGCTGGCTTTGGCATGATTTACGATTCCTTGGATATGCAAAGGAAAATGAACCCAGATTTGCAAGACACAGCCTGGATGAGAAGAGAACAGTGAAAGGAGTGCAAGAAAGGGGCCTCCCTGGTGGTGCAGGGGCTAAAGCCAGGCACTGTGAAGCCATCCAGCCACAGCAGCACAAGTTCGATCCCCAGCCAGGGAGCTGACCCACATGGCGCAGCAGACCTCTCCTGTCTTGCCCACTGCCCCCCTCAGCAGTGCATTTCAGTGGATCCACCTGTTCTGCCCCCCAATCTGTCTCTGGTGAATCCTCTCACCTCCACACCTCTGGCTTGTACCCCCGGTTCTTGCATACATAAATAAATCTTTAAAAAAAAAAAAAGAGGCCCTCCCTGGTGGCGCAGCGGGTTAAAGCACAACACTGAGAATCTAAAGCCGCTTCCGCATGAGTTCGATTCCC